GCACTCCAGTCTGGGCGACAGAGTGAGACTCCAACTCAAAAAAAAAAAAAAGAATAGCACTAGCCACCAAAATACCTTTCATTCCCTTTTTTTTTTCTTTTTGAGTTAGAATCTCTCTCTGTTGCTCAGGCTATAGGGCAGTGGCACATTCACAGCTCACAGCTGCCTCAACCTCCTGGGTTCAGGTGATCCTCTCGCCTCAGCTTCCTAGTTGCTGAGAGTACAAGCATGCACCACCACATCTGGCTAAGTTCTAAAAATTTTCTGTAGAGATGAGGTCTTGCTATGCTGTCCAGGATGGTCTCGACGCCCTGAACTCAAGCAATCCTCCCGCCTCAGCCTCCCAAAGTATCGTGGTTATAGGCATGGGCCACCATGCTTAGCCTGCCATTCTCAATAATGTACTAAATTGCCAGCGTGCACCACAGACCAGCGGGGCTCAACACCTGTGCCCATCGTCCAGTTGGGTAGTTGACAGCCTACCTAGACATGGGGGCTGCTGTGGACACCATGCTCCGTGCTGGGGACGGGGGCTTTAGGAAGCGAGTGAAGGCCTGCTTGCGTGGATGAGCACTGCTGCTGGACCAAGACTTGCTGCCCTCTGCCTTCAGAGGTGCCACCCGTTCTCACCCCTCCACCCAACAATGCATTGCACCCCGTTGCCTGCCAGGCACTGTGCGGGCATTGAGGACACAGCACTGAGCTGGACGGACCTGGCGCCACTCTCAGCAGCTCCGTGCTCATGGCGGAAACTATACAAGGAACAACACGGAGGCACAGCACGAGTTTTAGAGCGAAATGGAGCTGGGTTGGGGGGTGGACGTCTGGCAGGCCTTTCAGCTCACGGGTGTGGAAGTCACACAGGCCTGGGGTGACCCTCAGTGGCCACTCCGCAGCCCTGTCCTCCTGAGATGGGTTTCACGTCCACATCGGTAAAGTCGGCATCGTAGAGCCCACCTCCAGGGCTGCTGCGCGTGTGGAATTCACTTGTACCTGGGCCCACCCTACAGTATTCCTCAGAGGGGAGTTGTTACCCTTATTGGTTTATGTATTTTTAGTCCAGGTCTCCCTCTGTTGTCCAGGCTAGAGTGCAGCAGCATGATCATGGCTCCCCGCAGCCTCAGCCTCCTGAGCTCAAGCAATCCTTCCACATCAGCCTCGTGAATAGCTGGGACTACAGGTACACTCCACCATGCCCAGCTAATTTTTTTTTCCCTAGGGATGAGGTCTCACTATATTGCCCAGGCTGGTCTCGAACTCCTGGGCTCAAGTAATCCTCCCGCCTCGGCTTCCTAAAGGGCTAGGATGACAGGCGAGAACCACCATGCTCAGATATTATGCTCATCTTGGTGTGTACCAAGCTTTCTCCTTCGTGGCCCTGCTTCAGGACCCGTGTCTGGGATCAGCACAGTGCTTGGCACAGAGGACAGAAGAACGCAACGCAGTCATAGAAACACGAGCACCCACAGGCGCTGAGCAGATGCCCACGGTCCCCGGGTCCCTGGAGGGAAGCGTGACCCTCATCCCACCTCACAGAGCCCGGGCGAGGTCGACACTCACCCAGCGTCACAGAAGGGCGGGATCTGGTGCCAGGGCCAACCTGTCCCCCAGCACTGCCACTGCAGACGCGTCCCCGTCGCCTTGAATCCCAGGCCCGCCCGGGGAAGACTGGCCCAAGCAAGCGGGCAGGGGAGGCCCTGCCTGCGGCCTCTTGGACCCCATGCGCCAGCGCCCGGTGGCCCTACCTGTGATGTTGACCATGACGCTGCTGACCTTGGAGATGCGGCTGGACTCCACCTTGCACGTGTAGTTGCCGCTGTGCTCGGTCATGGCCACTGCAGTGAACACGGCCTCGCTGCTGTGCCAGCTGGTGGCCACAATGGCCTTGTCCTTCTGGATGATGATCTCTGGGAACTCACGGGCCTGGGGCGTGACCTGGATGGTGCAGGCCACGTGGAGCAGGTCTCCCTCCGTGATGGTCCCGACAGGACGCACGTGGAACCTGGGCACAGAGAAGGACTCTGTGGGGGAGAGACAGCTGCGGTCAGAGGCGGCCGGCGTCAGGTGTAGACGGGGAAGGATTCCGAGCGAGAGGGACGGCCGGGTCAGGTGGACAGAGAGGACTCCCCGTCCGGCCTGCACTTCAGCTGTGGCTGTTTGAGTGGGAGTCTTTCTGCCGCCTAGGCTGAGGGCTGTGGTGTGATCAAAACCCACTGCAGCCTCAATCTTCTGGCTAGGACCCGCTTCCACCTCAGCCCCTCAAGCTGCTGAGACCACAGGCACATGCCACCACTCTCGGCTCATTTTCGTGAGAGATGGGGTCTCACTATGTTGCCCAGGCTTTTCTCAAATCTGGGCTTGAGCAATCCCTTCTCCTTGGCCACCCTGGTGCTGGGATTGCAGGATCGAACCCTGTGCCTGGCCCCTCCCTCTCCCTGGTCCCAGCGGTCCCCCTGGGGAACTTACAGGCCCGCCCTCCCCCCAACAGCCTGTCTCTGCCCGACCCACCCGCCCTTCCGCTCATGCTTAGTCTCCAGCCTCCCCTTCACCGCCAAGCCCTGCCAGACAGGCTCCCTAGCTCTGCCTCCAACCCCTCAGTGACCCCAGAGGCAGCCGCAGCCCTCAGATGCGACCCTGCCTCCCTGTAAGGGCGATTCTCCCGGGCTCTCCTCACTCCTCTCGTGGAAACACGGTGTTTCAGCATGAGTGTCCTGCAGCCTCAAAGCATTGGCTCCCCGGACTGGACTGCTCCGGGGACACACATCTAACCCCATGCCCAGAGGGGCTTTTGGTCAATTCTATTTCACGTTGGTAAACTCTGGCCATGACTCACCGCATTGACTGCATGACTCACTCGGTTTGAAAGACAGTTCTGGTCCTACACAGGTCGGGGGCCAGGACACGGGGTCCCAGGGCTGCAGAGCTCGGTCCTCAGCTTTGCTCCACGTATGACACAAATAAGACTGTAGCACGAATGGGCATGTGCCGCTCTCCAGCTGTGCAAGTGCAGGCTGGGATGTCAGGAAGGGCCGGAGCAAGCTTGGAGGACAACTTCACCAGGGCTTCACGGCCACCAAGTCACTGACTTTCATCCCCAAAAGCCACCATCAAAATGCAGCCTGCTTCCCCAAGAGGAGCCAACTTTTAGGACACTCAACGTGAGGCCCTCGGGTTACCTCCATTATAACCGAAGGGTTTTCTCTTTACCCAGGTGCACCAGAGACTTAAATACCAAACAACATCTGAATCGACCGTTTGCTAGGAATTAACCCCATAAGCAATAATAATACAATCCTTGCCAAAGCACCCAGGTTGTAAGTACAAGCAACTGTATGGCAGGATGGCTGTAACGGCAAAACCTGGGAAGCACCCAAGGGCCCATCGACAGAGATGAGATAGGCACACCTGGGCGCGGCAGCACACGCCTGTCCTCCCAGCGCTCTGGGAGGCTGAGGCGAGAGGTTGGTCTGAGCCCCGGGGTTCGAGACCAGCCTGGACAACTTGGCAAGACCTCGTCTCTACAATAAATCAAAATATCAGCCAGATGTGGTGGCACAAGACTTGCGGTGCCAGCTATTGGAAGGCTGAGGCGGAAGGATCCCCTGAGCCCAGCAGGTTGAGGCTGCGGTGGCCATGAACACGCCACTGCACTTCAATCTGGGCGACAGAGTGAGTCTTCAACGCAAAAAAAAAAAATGAGCAAGGCATCGTGGTGCACACTTGTACTCCCAACTACTTGGGAGGCTGAGGTAGAAGGATCGCCTGAGCCCAGGAGATCGAGGCTGTGGCGAGCTGTGATTGTGTCACTGCACTCCATCCTGGGTGACAGAGTGAAAGCCCAACTCAGAAAAATAAAATAAAATGGTACACACACACACACACACACACACACACGCATGATGGGCGGAGTGACATGTGAGGGCTGGAAGAAGGGTCCATTTATGACCAATGCCAGGGCTCCTCCTCTGGGTCGACTCAAGGCTGCCCTCATGGGAGTGTTCCTCCCGGACTCCTGGCTTGGCAGGTGCGCCAGCCCCGGGCGCATGGGGCTCTGTCCTAGCCCCTCCCTCTGACCGCTGCAGGCCCCCCTCTACGGCTGCCTCCTGTCTTTCGACAGCCTTCCTTGGGCCACCTCATTTGTTTGCTCTGCATCCCTGTGCGTCCAAGGGGCCCGGGCCCCTTCCCTGTGATCTCCAGACTCAGCCTCTTGGGGTCTGGCCCAGAGCACCTTAAGGTGGCAGTTTCCACACTGCAGGTTGCAGGACGCGTCAGTGCTGCGAGTCATGACCAGCATTTTAAAAACCAAAACAGACTAGATTAGAAGACATCAAAATGCATCATGTGGGCCTGGCACGGTGGCCGGCGCCTGGCGTCCCAGAGCTTTGGGAGGCTGAGGCCGGAGGACTGCTTGAGGCCAGAAGTTCGGGGCTGCAGGAGGCTATGCTTGTGCCACTGCACTCCAGTCTGGGCCACAGAGTGAGACCCTTTCTCGAAAAATAGCTATTTTGGGTAATGCCTGATGTATATTCAGGGTAAGTGTTGCTGGTGAAACTTTTGCTTGGGAAAGGATATACAATTTAACTTCAGGATGCCGCCCAAAGGATGAAAGAAAAAGACCGAAAGAGAGTGAGAACAGGTCTGAGCGCCGAGGACAGCAGCCCCGCCCCGGGCCTGTGCCCCTCCCCCCAGGCCAGCAGGAAAGTGCGGGGCGGGGGGGGAAGGCTCTGACCCCGCACGGTGACCAGCTCGCTGCGGGCGGCCTCCGAGGTCTCCACGCGAATCCCGGAGAGAATCCGAGCCTGGCAGCGGAAGAACAGGACGTGGTCCAGCTCCTCCACCGGGAACTCCAGTGCCACGAAGTTCTGGGCCCTCGACGTCTTCTCCCGCCTCTGCTTGGCGACCTTCGAGTCCAGCTCGACCTTCTCGACCGTGAAGTGTATGGGGGCCTTTTCCTCCGGGACGGAGCAATTGACCGTCACGACCCCGCCTTCGACAGCCTCTCTCTTGTCCAGCGTCACCCTGGGGCGGGGCACTCCTTCGGGGAAAGAGGGGGTCCGTGAGCCGCAGTGCAGCCGCGTCCAGAGGCCACCTGCTCCCGGCGCGCCCAGTGCTACCCGCCAGGGGCTTACTGGACCAGGCGCTCTGAAACATGCAACACGGGTTCAAGGTGTGGCGGTGCCTTCAGGGGTCATAGCCCCACTGGGGAGGCGGCAACGTCAAATTGCGGCCACTGCCGTTTTGAGGAAACCACAACCGGGTTCATCTTTGGCGCTGTGAGTGCTGCTGTGATCCATCGGACACCAGTCACGAGCTGGGTCACCTCGGCTCATGCCACAGACGCAGGGGGCTGCCACCAGCCAGCGTCTCCCTGCTCTTGACGTCACACCCAGAAGAGCAGGCGGGTGCACGAGTGTGGCCCCGAACTAATGAACGGCCTTTCGAGGAGCCCACGGGTGGCCGGTCCACGTGACACCGCATCAGCCTCTCAGTTACCTCCCAGCTAGAGGGATGGTCATCGCCTTTCTACTGAAAAGGATTCTGAAGGGTAGGTGGGTCAGGGACTTGGCCAGTTGGAACCCCAGCACAGCGACCTCGGTCCTGCAGCCTTACCTGCAAGAACCCCACTGAATGCAGAGCGGGCATAAGGCTGGGGAGGTCAGCTGTGTTTTGGAAAGTGTCAGAGCAGAAATCATCATGCTAGCCTTCTTTTTTTGCTTGTTTGTTTTTTTGAGCCAGGGTCTCACTCTGTCCCCAGGCTGGAGTGCAGTGGCATGATCACAGCTCACTGCGGCCTGGACCTCCTGGGCTCAGGTGATTCTCCCTCCCCAGCCTCCCTTGTAGCTGGGCCTACAGGCATGCACCACCACACCCAGCTATTTTTTTTGTTGTTGTAGAGATGAAGTCTCACTATGTTGCACAGGCAGGTCTGGAGCTTCTGGGTTCCAGCGGTCCTCCCGCCTTGTCCTCCCAAAGGGCTGGGATGACAGGCGGGG